GTCGTGAGGTCAATAAGTCGGTGTAACTTCAGTAAGTCTTCCACCAAAGTTGCCCTGAATTGTCTATGTGTTATATTTGGATTGGCCGTTTTAAATAAAATGAAACAGTCAAAAATGGCACAGTTAAAGAGACGACGAAAAACCTTTTTGTGCCAAATTTTATTTCGTGTACGTTCCATGGGTTGAGCAGACAAGAATTGGTCCTTCCTGTCCATTCCTCTCATGGACTTGTTGTAGTCCAAAACAACGCTTGGCTTGTATGTCAGTCGGTCAAATTTTTGTCGCGTACCAATCTGGAGGCAATGGTACATCGAAAGCATGCTAACTAGGTTAGCATCTCGCCATACGATTACCGACAAATCGGAACACTAGCTCGCCAATACTTCACCTTATCTTAGTTCCGTCTTTATTATTGTCTTCAAAGAATCAGAAACAAATTCCCGATTCAGTCGTAAGGTCCCAAAGTAGTCTGTTTGTTGTCATTTCAGACACCGCGCTAATAATGGGCTATTGTAAAAATTGTCCATTATTAATTGCGCTGTCACCCGTGAGGACTAAGATAGAATGCCTCCTTTCTAGTAAAAAGGGTCTCCGGTTCTCTACACTCACCATATGAAACACAGCAGCATTAAGCTACTATTTTACGAATGTATTCTGTGAGAGCGTGGTCCTTCCCCGGTCGAGCCGATCTATTCGTGCTACAACTATACTACTAATATAACTGCAGCATGGCTCTACCACGTAATTTTTTTTATATAAAGTAAGAAAAACAAAATATACGAAACTAGTTTTTATAAAATACAATAAATCTAAAATACCTCCTACCTTGAGATGGTCCACTCCCACCTACAGTACGAACCCCTTGGCTTCTATGACTTCCACGAGCCAAGTTAGTTTCGGTTGGTGATCTAAAATTGTTGTATGTATTCATTTAAACCATTAATATAATCAGGGAAAAAACAATAATGATGTGTTAAAGAAACATTAAAAATTACAATTATGATTGAGAATCATTATAAATCATTAAGAAATAAAATTCAAAACCAGCACCACCCAAGACTAAGACCGTAAAAAATAAGAAAGCAAAACATCTGGCAAACATATTTTGCTGTTTGTATCGACCCTTATTTAGAACTATTGTCGTTACGTTCGTGGATATACAACTAGCCACAACAAAAAACCTGAGTAACGCACTAACATTTTTAACGTATCTTCAATAAATATAGTTTATTTCTGTTTGTAAAGTTCATTATTATGTTTATTACGAACTAACACTCGTTTGCTTATATATAATTTTACTGAAAAACAAAGTAAACGAATATAAACTTGGGCCGACAACTTGAGAGCGGCCATTTCTTTCGAAACAGCTATACTTTAGACTTGTTTTTTTCAACTGCAGATCAGCTGATGCTACACTGATACTGTTGATGATGTGAGTTTCACCTTTATTCTGTCGCGCATGCGCAATGCGAAGATAATTGGCTTGGAAATGCCACGACGGTTTATTGTTTACAATAATAATAATTATTGAATATTTTTAAGAATTAGCACGGGGGCAAATTAAATTAGCGCAAGGGCAATTTTTCACGCTTGATAGAGTAAAAAATAATCATTTTTCAAAGAGATATGGCTATTTTAAGTAGAGGAAAATTGAAAATTATATTTCTATTTTTCCTGGGAAAACGAAAAACGGGCTTATAAATTAATTAACGTAGGTCGAAAGGGCTAATTGAGATCTATAAAATGATTCTTTTTTATTCTGAAATTTTGGTATCTGCAGGCTGGAATGGGCTGGAACGTGCCACCTTATGGAATGATAAAACGTACAAAAATTAATGACTTATTTTTTTAATCTATGGAAAAAATATTCAAACCCGATTTGCTACAATATTTGAAAAATCCTACTTTTAATAACTTCTTTTTTAAATTTCAGTTTCACTGTAATGTACTTAATTTTAATAAAAAAAATAATAGCGAGATCTGGTGGTTTTTTTTTTCAATCCAAGTTTCCAAAATATGGCGACAATTTACTCTGGATCTAGTGACACGTAGACAGAGAAACCTAATAATTTTTGAGGTGGCAACTCTGACTTACTTTACGTTAAACATCGATAGTTGGGTAATCTGATAGTATCGATAGTTTGGTAATGTGTCAGTATCGATAGTTTGGTAATCCGATAAAATCGATAGTTTTACTCAAAACTATCGATAGTTTAAGAAATTGTAGTATTAGCGTAGCATTCGTCATTATTATAGTTACAAATCAATCATTAAAATAGCAGCTATTTTCTTTTATAAACAACAATTCGTTTAGTCATTTTTCTTTTAACCTATTTCTGCGTTCAGTTAAAATTTGTTCGGCCTTCGAAAAGATCCGTTCCAAAGGCACAGAAGATGCTGGAATACAGAGATAGAGCATCGCTTATTCCTTCAATTTATTGTTGATGTATTTCCAGTATTTTAAAGGACACTCTTTTCTGTCAATTACTGGCTTCTCGAGATATTGCTTGACATCTACCAATGAGTTACTCAAGGGGGTTGATACGTCCGGAACGTCTAGGAATCCCAACAGGTCATTAGATGTTTCTGAAGATGTGGATGGTGTTGATTGCGTTTCTTATACAGCCAAGCGTTCTTTAGTTAAATGGCTAGCATAGGCCTTTTCCAGCCACTGACCAGCTCGCCTCTCGTCGTCATTTGTTTTAAACCCCTTCTCCTTAAATCGGGGGTCCAATATTGTAGCAAGTACAACAGGTGTCCTGTTTTCATAGGGACTTAGTGTTTTCTCAACTGATCCCTTCACACAGAGTAATATTTTCTTTCCACTTCCAGTAACAATTGAGATTCAACTTCTACTCATTTCGTATTTATTCCACGAATCAATGGTATTATCAGTGACAATATTATATAAATTTTAGTCGTAGCTAGATCGAAAGTTCCAGAATCTGATTTTTTTTTTCTTTATTGAATAATTAGGTATTCGTCAGCATTGACTCCTGGTAGAGCCCGATGACATTCATTAAATGCGAGAGTTAATCCTTTCTTCATTGTAAGAAGTCTTAACAGCATATGGTATATACAGCGGGTTGGTACTTTCTGGATCACTTTCAATTCTGCTTTATTTAATTCACGTTGAATAGCTCGAAATTTATCGTTAGCTAGAGTACTCATCTTGAAAAATCACAATCGATTTACATTATTCGGAATCTGGTCTAAGCAGGTCTCAGCAAACGAATCAGTCACCGTCAGGTTTAGTGTGTGCGCGAAGCAATATGGCTTAAGTGCAGTTTGGCTGCGGTGTTAATCATTATTTAAGCGTTATCAGTCGTTATTGCTTCACATTTTGACTTGATACCCCATTTTGAGTGAGTAGCGTCCAGCACCTGAAAACAATAATAATATTGTTTATGTGTGATTATAAAGAAACACTAAAATGATAGATATCAAGCCAATGAAATTTAAAAATATTTACACTGACTATATTTTCTGCTTTCTGACTTCCTTCCATCTTCACGACTTCCAATCATGGTGCAATAAATTTTTCGTTGTGAAAGAAATGACAAGTAACTGAAAGGCAGTATTATATATTCCGGCAGTAATTTCTTCTTCAATGTTGTTGTATTAGATACATTTCATATTATCGAGAGCTCGATGTTCTCCCTTTCGCAAAGGTTCTATGTCAACAGCAATCATGCGCACACATTGTTATCCAAATTTTGCTTTATTTTCCCATCTGGATATTTACTACTTCTATCAAAATAATTTTTAGCGTATTTCTCTTTTTAGAGCTCATTTGCTCATTTTGCTCAGTGGTATCTACGTCTTGAGTAACAGACATAGTGGATTATCATACCTTATTATGTTTTCTCACAAAGAATACTTGGCAAACTTTTCATTAGTATTTTTGAAGTAATTTCACGCACGTGACTTAATATTCATGTTCGTTACTCCACTCAACTTCAAAACATCCACAATAAAAAACTAACTTACTGACTTTTGTCTTGTAAATGAATAATACGCTCGGTCATTCCCCTACCCAAGAGAAGAATCTCAACGTCTACTCCTTTGAATGAATGATATACGTATGGTAATTCCCCTACCATAGAGAAGAATCTCAATGTCTACGCCTTTGTCACTATGGCCGGGGAAAACCTTCATACATACATACCTCGACTCCAGGGATGTAAAAGTAGTAGTCGAGTAAACAATCGATCGATAGTTTTAAAAACTATCGATAGTATCAATAGCCATTTACTATCGATACCATCGATAGTCTCTATGGATGTTTAACTTTAACGTACACTACTCTGACCAAGTATAGAATACCTATATACAGTAATCAAGGTAATCTATGACGCTGACCTTTCTGACTAGGAGTCATAGATAAATAAATATGTAGCAAGCTACTAGGAGTAATAGGGTGCGTTTGGCAGAAAAAAGCGCTAGCAAGCGCTTGTAAGCAAAATGGCGATCGTAAGCGGTAAGCGCTGTCAAATCGTAAGTAGCTATTTTCCTCCAGGACACGATGTTAGTTTTAACCGGGGAACCTAACCTAATTTAAATATATATTTGTAAAGTATTCATATTAAAAACTTACCAATCATGAATTTTTAATAACATGTATATGTCTATTCATGTCATTATATTACTTAAAAATAATATTGCACAAAACAACATATAATTTCTACTTCAAAACAAACAAATTAAATGAGCAAAATGGCGGATTGTGTCAGCGCTATTGAAGTAGCAATCGTGTCCTGGCCGAAAACTATTTTAGCGCTTGTAGCGCTTACTAGCGCTTTTTTCTGCCAAACGCACCCATAGTGTTCTGTGTTTCTGACTGACTCTGACTTTCCTCTATGGCTCTATGGCCTAACCCTTAAAACTTTAAATGGTGTTATTATTTATTAATTTTCTAGCTGTAAAATCACAGTAAAATTTACAGCATTCGATTAATGTCATTAATGTTTAAAGTTATTCATGTCAAATAACTAAATGCAATGACTGAAAGTGAAGATAATTACGAGAACTCAATAGAAGATAATGACTCGGAAAGGGTGATTTTTTCTTGGTGATTGTACAAAGATTTTATTTTCTAGTACTAAAACTAATAAACAATGTTTTTCAGTTGGCTATTAGGAACGAATTATCGTCGTTGTCTTTCGAAGACCTTCAAAAATTAAAAGAAAGAGTTGGCGCAAAACTTTATAAAGAAGTAGTTTTTGGGAAAAAGGATAATGTACGAAGCACACCTAAAGTTTATAAGCGCGAAAATAAAAATAGGCCTAGAGAGATGAGTTCGAAGAGACCAGTGCCATTTTTGAAGGATGTAGTTACAGTACCAAAGCAGAAAGAAATTCGTGATCCCAGGTATGAAGTAGATATGAGCGGCGATGGCCAATTCCACGGCGGCGGCGTGGCCTGATAATTTCCACAGCGGCGGCGGCGTCGCGGCGGCGCGTCGTGGCCAGTCGTAGGCCTTTGATATTTTTTTATCAGGAAAAATTTTCTCAAAAAAAACCATATTGTAGTTACTAAAAAAAGCTTTATATTTTTTAATAAAGAAACTTATTTGTTAATTACAATTTGACAGTCTTATTAATAATTGGAGATCACGTTTACTGAAAAATAATCGTTTCAGTATTTTCAGTTGAAGAAAAACTGAACGTTTTCAATCACAGCAGTGTCGTCTATCTTTATTATAAAAAACTAAAAGAAATATTTATCATATATATATCCCTTACACTCAAAATATATATTTAAGTAAATTCTATAATAACGTAAAAAAACCTACGAACATAAAACAATCATATATTAATTATAAGTATGTAATTATGTATTTAAAGTAGTACCTATAATGTATTTATAATTAGTTAGGTAATTTCACATGTTCTTTCAGATACATTTACAAATAAAATAATCATTTAAGTGAGTTTTGTTGGCGCTTGATACTTTTAAGGCTCAATCAAATACAGAAAACAATAAAATATCAAAATAACAATAACAATACCACAAAAACATCAAAATGAAAATATGCATATCAATGTCCAAAAACACCGTTTATTCCTTTAAGGATTCTTTGCAAAATACATAATTGTCACGGATAAATACTATCCTATTTAGCCTCAAAGGCTTTAATCGTGAATGTTTTACGGTTATCACGAGTCCAGCTGTGGAAAATACTCTCTCGGCGTGCTGGTGGCTGGTATATTCAAAATTGAGCATGCAAGAGCATACAGTGGTGGTATAGAAGTTTCCTGTCTTTCCAGTATTGTAGAACGTCTCTATCTCTGTGCTGTGTTTTCACACCAACTCCAGTAAAAAGTTTAAAGAACCAGCAGAAGAAGTCGGCCTAGCTTTAGCGGTATCAATGATTTCATTTTGACGAAGATCCTCTGTTGTCAAGCGATTTCTGACCATTGTTGATAGGAATGAAACCTTAGTGACTTCTCTTTTTTGCATAAATTCATCAATTTCATGAATGGCATGAAATCTACAATCAAGCAAAGTTGACGCAACGACCACACCGGTTAAAGGAAATCGGGAGTTCAAGCTCTCAAACATGTTATTTTTGAGCCTAGCTATTGCAAGAGGCGCATCATCATTCGCTTCTTCAAGCAATTTTTTCACTTCTGACCAAAACACTAGAACCAGATTCATAGTAGGTTGGGTTTCTGAACTTAGAACATCAACGATTTTCTTAAAATTCTCTCGAAACTTTATAAGAGCCTGAATGGTTTCGTATTCGGTATCTTGTAATACGAGATCACCTCGTCCTATTTCGTTAAGAAGTGTGTCTATAGGCTGTCGTTTTGCGTCATTAGAAATGCATTTTAGCATCATCAAAATGCTATGCCATCTTATGCTTGTGCTCGTTTTAATAGTCGGAGGGGGCTGCAAACACTGTTTAGAACTTGAATCTCTTTCAGGTGTCTTAGTTGTTTCGGATTCAGAGTCGGTTGAGTCGGCATTTTCCAGATGTTCAGCGAATTCTTCAAATTCTTCAATGGCGTACTAATGCTGTCGGGCCGCGCGTGCCAGCGAGAAAGCAAGTTGCGACTCTTCACGACGGCGCGCCGCGTGCTTTACTCGGCGACGACGCGTCGACATGTACTTACGGCGACGGCGGCGCACCGGCGCGGCGCTCATAATATCTAGTATGAAGTAATATTTGTAAATGAAGATATAAATTGGGAATAGCTTTTTTTACAATTTTTTGTTACCCTATTAATGTGTGGGTCACATGCAGAGTAAGAAGTCTCGAATTAGTCTTTCACTCTTGATCTTTTGTGGTAGCATACCATTCTCTTTAAATTGGTGGTTAAAGTTGTCTCTCAATCTGTTCCTTGGACTGGCTCTATTCCTTCTACCTTGTGTTGTCCAGAAGGTAATATCTTTGGTCTATATGTCTGTCTCCAGACTTTCAGCCCAGCTTTATTTAGCTTAGCCTAGCATTTGTACTATTATTATTTTTGCAATAATTGTAAATAATTAATAATTGAGCAAATTAATCTGAATTTTATAAGACTCCTCATATGCTGCACTCCATGTCATAATGTCTATATTTCGAGTATTAACATGTATGTGTATACTTTGAGTATTAACATGTAATCTAAACTTTGAGTATGAACTTTTAAGCTTCGGTCAAATTCCAGAAGCGCTTCCTACTGTAAGTTTATTGTACTATGTCTATAACCTTCGTGCAACTGCAAGCAATATATTGACAAAGTTTTATCACAATCTGATGAAAAAATACAAACAAACAAACCATCGCCTCAGTGCTCGTTAGGCCAATAGACCATTTGAGTAATTTTACAAGAGCAATGTTTTTTTGTTTTTCTATGCTATGACTCAAATAAAGCCGTAATGTTCGGTAGTTTCCAAAACTGTGGCACATCTGGACCTCTAATAATCTGTAAAAAATAAAAACTTCTGACTTTAACATTGTGTAAAACTGGTTTAAAAATGGATATTGGACAAAAAAACTAAACTATAATTACGTTAATGGATATACACTACATTTTGTTTTTCTATGCTATGACTCAAATAAAGCCGTAATGTTAGGTAGTTTCCAAAACTGTGGCACATCTGGACTTCTAATAATCTGTAAAAAATAAAAACTTCTGACTTTAACATTGTGTAAAACCAGTTTAAAAATGGATATTGGACAAAAAAACGAAACTATAATTATGTTATCATGGATATACACTACATTCCTTGGGATGTTAGCCAAAAAGCAACCAAAAGTATTCTGTGCTTTTTTGCTCTATAGCCTTACTTCACAATACAGGCTGTGAAATTAAACAAATTCACTGCACATCTTTATTGTATGTTATAATAAAATTAATAAATAAATTATAAATTGTTTTTGACAGACTAGGATCTTATCTAACAGGCATGAATTAAAATTAAATGTTGAATTTATAGATATATACTACTGGTGCCCTGTGGTGTCACTCGCGTATAATTTTAACGAAAGGTACTGTCGTTTTGAGTTAGCTTGACAAAAATGTGATTTTTGTGTGGGAAAGGAATTTATGTGCTGAATTACTTCTTCTATTTTGCTTTCGGCGGTCTGTTTTTTTATGTGTTTTCCTTTAGAGGGTGTGGGAATCAATTTTAATTTGTTGTTGTAAAGATTTTTGTAGAAATAATAAATTCTTTTAGCCAATATATCCAAAGTACCACAAAAAAACTTCTGACACACTTTCACTTTTTGCTCGTTTTTCGAAAAGAAGTACTATAATTCTTCGAATAGTTATTTTTACTCTACTATATTGTAAATAAAGGGGGATAAGTCGCTCACGTCCATAGGCTTTGACCACCTATTCCTAGGCCCACCCTACACGTGTCCCCCGGGTGGTGCTAAATGAGCGACAAGCCGATAGCACAGATTCGGCTCCTCGCCGTGGTAGTGGCGTAAAATATACTACCCCATATTTCGCACCATGAGGAACCAAATAAAAGAAATGGCCCCGAGTTCCCGGCGCCCCTTTAATGCGACAGGGGTGCGAAGAATCTCCAGGAGGAAAACCGGCGACGAGGTAGCCACCCATCACGTTCTGTCTCCCGGAGGGGAGAAAAGTGGATTGCAGAGGCCCGTCTGGCTACTTTGAATATATGTGAAGCAATGAATGATAAAATGGATGAAGTAAGCAATATGATGTATGATAGAGGAATAGATATGTTATGTGTAAATGAGACGAAATGGAAGGGGAAGGATGTCACTACACATGGCATGTATACCACATACTAGTCTAGTGTAGACGAGATCGATCGGGCATGCCAGGGAGTAGGTATCATCCTTTCAGAAAGAATGGGCCAATGTGTGAAAGAGTATGAATGTGTAAGCCCAAGACTGCTATGGATACTAATGAAAGTGGGCTTAAAGAAGTTGTTTGTGTTAGGGGTCTACACCCCAGACATGTCTAAGCCCACTTATATCCGAGAGCAGTTTTGGGAAATGGTAAGGATGGTGTTAATGAAATGTAAGGATTCCTCTAATTTCTGAGAGGGTTCTTAGGGCTAGGATAATTAAATATAGGATAATAAATTCCGGGATTCTCGATGAAACCGTTATTTTAGATATTTCCGCTTCTGGTTTCTCTTCCTTGGACGTCATTTTCGACGGTATACACTACTAGGGTCACCACTTTAACTGATGTAAAAATGTTAAAAAACGAAATAGGTCCTTGTAAGAGATAGCTTTTAATTACATTTTTATGACGCGTGTAACAACAGTGCCGGCCCAATCGTCACTTACTACAATTCAGTTACATAGGTACTATACTAAGTGTAGTTACATATTTATTACTTTTAAATCATTAAATAACTTCTAGGTTTGATCCCTTATGTGGTGAGTTTGACAAAAAGCAATTCGCTGAAAACTACAGTTTCCTTTCGGACATTCGCATAAAAGACATAAAAACTATCAGAGCAGAACTTAAAGAGACTACAGATCCAGAAAAAGTCTTAAAGTTAAAACGTCTACTGCAACGGCTTAATGAACAGCACAAAGCTGGTAGAAAGGCTAGAGTCGAGTTACAGAAAATGGAGAAACAGAAGGAGGATGTAGAGAAAGTGTTTAGAGAAGGCAAACAGCCTTACTTTAAAAATAAGTGTAAGTATTAATAAAATCCACAACTCGGTTATTTTTGCTTTTATAACTTCATAAGAGAGTAAAATACCAGGCCAACATACATTCTATTACTGGGCCCATCTTTCATCTAATAAATGGCATACAGTATCTTGAAATGCAAAACTTTACACATTCTACTCTAAAACATTTTTCAAACATGCCGATTTCTACCCAACATATTATGTTATAAAATTACGGGAATTACTAAACATGAATAGTGTGCTCAAAAAGAAATTTAAGACAAACCCATTAAGTGTATGTACATTTTATATGATTTTAAAGTATAAGTAAAGACTGAAATGTTCATTTATTTAAATAGTGACGAGATCATTTTCTAACAATACATTTTTAATTTTAATTATCTCCTTTATTGTTTGAAAAAAGTGTTGGTGACAGGCAGACAATCTTCAAATTGATTCCTAGTGTTCCGTTTTTAAGTAGCAAACACAAAGTGTGTATCTTGCAATAGAATTGTATTGTAAATACATACATGCAAAAATATATCCAGCAGAGGCAGATTAAAAGTTTACAGCACCCTAAGCTAGCACCTCGTTGGCGCTCTTCATCAGAAGAGCTGACTGTCAAGTCATATGTTATTAACTATTACTACTTCTTTTGCAAATAAACTATAATATTATAATACAGTTTAGGGTAATTTTATACCATTGCGGTTCCCTAGTTTTTTAGCTCTAGAAACACGAAAAATCTTCCGATTTCGATGATTTTTTTAAAAATCTCCGTTTTTATGGAAAATTTACGAAAAAAATATGGAAAATATCTCACCTGAAGATTTCATATAGTTTTATGACTTTAAATGTGATCATAAATGCACTTCTTCGAATAATGTTCATAATCGTTCATAACTTTTTTGCTAGGCGTTAAACGAAGTTTATATATTTTTTTTGTTAATCTACACATAAAAACGAACATTAAAAAAAGCATTGAAAAATTTTTGTTTATTAATTTTTTATCTCACTTTAAGTAGGTACCTATTTATATGGTTTTCTGACTTTAAATGTTATCATAAATGCTCTAGAAAATCGAAATATTTTTATTTATTAACTTTTATAATAAAAGTTAATATTTTGGTGTTTTATTGAGTGTAAGAACGAGCTAAGCGAGCTCGGGTCGCTTAGGTCATCCCGATTCGGACAGGTTAGGTTAGAAGGAGATGGCGGGGCCGAATGAGCGAGCGAATGGACCCCGCCATCTCCTTCTAACCTAATCTGTCCGAGTCGGGTAGGGAAATCTTCAGGTGAAATGTTTTCCATATTTTATTTCATAAATCCGCCATAAAAATTAAGGATTTAAAAAAATCATCGAAATCGGATGATTTTTCGATTTTCTAGAGCCAAAAAACGAGGGGACCGCGAAAGTGTAAAATTACCCAGTTAAGTTTCCAAATAATTAGGATACGTGTACCCTTAACAGGTAGGTGTGAAAGAAAAATGTCATGGAAGAGTGAGGGCGATGTAGGAGTAATCAAGTACAGAATTTTTTTCGCTCTAAAACTTGAGCGTGCGCCCCTTTTTGACCTTGTATCTCTAAGCATGCGCTTAGTATGCGTTAAGGATGATCCGCCACGGATATCCAGGCTTCATCAACATCACAGCCCTTCACAAGTCCATTGCTGAACTTATGCCTACCAGGAGTCTAGATATCGTGGAGTCACCAGCATCCATATTATGAGTTGGTCATTCCATTCATCCATCCACTCATATCGAGGCTTAATTAAAATAATTTTTTCTTTTGTTATTTCAGCGGAATTACGCGTAGAAACTTTGGTGAGACAATATGAGGATCTAAAGAAAGAAGGTACTGGTCGTATTCAACGCCATCTTAAACGTCGGCAGCAAAAATTGAAAAAACGCTCACATAAAGCACCAAAAGGAGTCAGTTAATAAAAAAATAATTAAAAATGACCTGGATTTTTTTCACTCGTACTATAGGTTTTCCTTTCTAACTTTGAATCTGTCTTGATTGTAACCTACCTCTTTTTTTAATTATGTGTGAGCAGCTAAGCCGGCCTAGAGAAAGAGACCAGTATAACTGCAACCTAAAAGAACTATTGTGATCGCTGCTATGGCAATTGTTCACTGCTAAGCCCTATATCTTCAACAAATAGGAGTTGGTTAGCTGTGAGCAATTTCACTTCTTCTGGGCGGAGTACATAGTTTCCCAGATGAGTGTTACGTTTGGGCATTAAAGGTTCTGCAATCAGTTAGGATGTGAGAGGCGTTTCTTCTGTTAAGGAACAGAACCGGCACATCCTTGAGTTACTCAGTCCCAGGATGGACATGTGCTTTTTAAGACAACAGTGTCCAGTTAGGACTCTTGCCAGAATGCACAATTTATTTTTACTTAAACCCAGGGCTTTGAAGCGAATTTACGATCAAAAGCCCAGATTAAGGTTTGAAAATATTTTAAGCATGGTATCTCAGACCAGATCTTAAGTGATTTATTGTGATAAATAGTTTCAAGGGTCAATCGGGCTAGGCTTTTGAGATTCCACAAAATAGCTCGGGTCCAAATTGTATGTACTCTTTGAGACCTCCTGTGCTAGCTTGTCGGCAAATTCATTGCCTATAATACCCGCGTGACTCAGAATCCATCTTAAGTTCTTAAGACGATCCTCTTGTTACATCTCGGGGTGTTTAGATGGTTCACTCAATCTCCAACTAGCTTCGAGTTCACTAAGTTTGACCTGAGCGGTAGCAGTGACTATCAAAGTTCATATAATTTCCGATTCCCGACGAATAGCCTTGCAAGTTGTGTGCGTTGGGCATCGCAGAACTCACATAAGTGTGAAAATATGATCAGTCGATCATAGTCAGAATAGGTACCTATTTCACCTAAGTAACTTAACATTTCGCAATGTATTTTTTTTATTCCTTATTGACATCCCTTAGTAACAACGGAAAGTCCGCCGTAACGTAAGATGGGGAAAAGATGCAAAGTAATACGGACACACTCGCGCATCGATAAAGTTTTATTTGGCTTGCGAGTGCGATTTATCTAATTAATAATAATTGTGTAGGCTATTAAACGTCAGCAAGCAGACAGCATCAAAGGACTATTGATCGAAGTTTGGGACATTAACAGTCTCTTTAAGAAGTTTACTGTTGGATGTGTGGAGACGAGAATACGTCAGCTGACTTATATTTTGTAGATTACTTGGAAGCCTTGCTCATATGAGCTTTAGTATTGGGGTTGCTGAGGGCTGGGCTGGCACCCGTGCACTTGTACTAAGGCGTAGATGCACAGACCGCGGCCCGCCGGTCGAATACTGGTGGCCCGCCGACAGCAAAAATAATACTCTCGTGCATTCGAAAAATATTGAATTATATTCCAGAATAAAACCAAAAAAAAAAATATGTTCGAAAGTAATTTGAATCTCGCGCGCACGCTCTTAAGTGCGCTTAGCGGTGCGCCGTGCATGCGTCGGTAACAGCGGTCGGTAATGTTCGTGCTGATCTCGATTAAATTAGTTTTCTTGAGGAACCGCCGTGGCCGGCGGCGCGGCGACGACGGCAGCGCGGTGGTGGCTTATCCACGGGTTATATTGTTAGAGCAAGCGAGATAGCAATAGTCCCGAATTCCCGATTGCTCGCGTAGGTAAATACACGAAGCTTCCAGAGTCGGTTTCGTGATTTCTCCAGACAATTTTCGACTCTATGCGCGCGGTATAAAAGCCACGCTAACCGCAGCGACCGACAGTTCGGTTTTAATTTGAGTGAAGTGTCAATAGTTCTAGCGTAGATTTTAACTCGACTAGCTGAGATATCATATATTTTGATCCACATTCAACGTAGATTTCCCGTCAAGTGCCGTGTATAATTGTGTTGTGAAATCGTAAGTAAAACTCTGTTATTAATAAGTGTTTCCCTACCTATTTAATCAATTATTTTTGGTAATTTAAAAAAGGATGGGTAATTTAAGTAGGTGCTGTAATTGTTTTTTAGGTGCTGTGTTAATCCTAGCCAGGATTAGAACGCAACATGGACAAGCCAGGACCTAGTAAAAAACGTAACATTAAAATCGGCAGTTTCAAGAAATTTGGACTGAGAAATACTATTTTTTTATAGTCGCATAACAAAGTCGTTTGTTTAATTTGCAAGAATTCTGTTGCGATTGCAAAGGAATGTAATGTAAAACTAAAAAGGCACTATGAAACGCAGCATCCTACTTTTACCAAGTTTACAGGCAAATTAAGAAAGCAAAAAATGTTGTCTTTAAAACGGGAGCTTATTGGTCAGCAAGCTATGTTTACAAAACCCATTCAATATTCGGAAACAGCTACAGAAGTTAGTTATGAAATTTCTCGAACGATAGCAAAGCGAAGTCGCCCCTTCAATGATGGGGATTTTGTAAAAGAATGCATAGAAATTGCCGCTAAGAAAATGTGTCCAGAAGCAGCAAAAAATTTTGAGAAAATTCAACTGAATCGTATGACTATCCAAAGATGAATTCTATACTTTTGACTTTGACGAATTCTATATTCTTTGTCAGGTAATATTGCGGAACAATTAAATGAAAAAACTAAGATCATTGAATTTTTTTCATTAGCACTCGACGAATCCACTGATATTAGTTCCACAGCTCAATTTCTGATATTCATCCGAGGTGTTACTCAAGATTTTGAAGTCTTAGAAGAGTTATTAGGAATGTGTGGAGTTGATATACTCAATGTACTTTTGGATGAGTGTTCAAAAACTGATTTGGACTTATCAAAATTATCGGGAGTTGCGACTGACGGTGCTCCTTCGATGATTGGTGTTAATTCTGGGCTAGTTACTTTGTTGAAAAAGCATCTGCAAGAAAAAAACATAAACGCTGAAGATCTCATGCAGTTTCACTGCATTATACACCAAGAAGCCATTTGTTCTAAAAAAATTGAATTTCAAAATGTCATGAAAGTGGTAGTTTCGGCTGTAAATTTCATAAAATCACGAGGACTCAATCACAGGCAATTCAAACAATTCCTTGATGACATCGAAAGCCAATATGGAGATTGACACTGGAACGATTTCTAAATTTAATAGAAGAAATTGGAATATTTCTGGCGGAAAAGCAAAGGGATGTCCCGGAACTTAAAAATCCTGATTGGTTGTGTGATTTGGATTTTTTAGTTGATATTACAAATCATTTGAATGTCTTGAACACACTGCTTCAAGGCAAAAATCATATGATATCCCAGCTCTACGCTCATGTATCATCCTTTCAATGCAAGCTGACACTTTTCAGATCGCAACTGAATTCTGGAAATTACAATCATTTTCCGAATTATAAGAAAATGGCTGAAATATTCAACATAACTGCGATTAATTTCAGTTATGTAGAAAAGCTAGATATTTTGATTCAATATTTTCAAGACAGATTTTCGGAGTTTAAAAAAGTGAAACCTCTGTTGGACATATTCAGCAATCCTTTCACGATTTCAGTTGAAAATGCGCCAGAGTCAATGCAGTTAGAAATTATCGACATTCAAAACGACCAAGATTTACGCAACAAATTTAACGATGGAGACTTGCTGAACTTTTACAGCTGCATTGATAAAAATACGTACAAAGAGTTGCGCATAAACGCTCTGAAATGTACGAGTTTATTTGGTTCTACAATAAAACACTGATACATTAGTCACGTTGCGTTCTTATTATTATGTTTTGATTATTACATACGCTTTTCTATCTGATAGTCAGATTTTGTGTTCCATTTCGTAAATTATTTTTCTCAAAGAATACCAGCGTAAATTAGCAGATTAACGCTGATGTGTGTCGTATTGTGAGTTTAGAGAACCGGAGACCCTTTTTGCTGGAAATGGGGCATTCCATCTTAGTCCTCACGGGTGACAACGCATCTGCATTTTGATTTGTATTTAAGGATAAATGTAGACGTAGATGTCTATGGACCACAGCAATCACTTACCATCAGGTGGACTGCGCTTGTTTGTCGTATATTATCGTAAAAAGAAATGATTGAAATTTTCCGGAATACTAATAAATTTCTTTTTAAAGACAGCTCACCCTATCCTGTACCAACAGTTCGTGTAGTGTCCGGATGAGAGATATAGATTAATAATATAATGCCGTGTGGTAAACGACGAACGTTACAGTTTATCTAAATTATGTATAATATTTTCAATTTCATATCACCAGCCTCTAAACAGTACACTGCTGGACAAGAGCCTCTCAATAAGGATTTGCCAACATCAGCAGGTGGTTTTGCGATCGCCCTTCATGACGTCATCGAAACGGCAAACGACTTACTTAGTACTGCATCACATAGACACTTGCAACCAACTTCAAGAGAAGGCTGCACATACGTTGTCACCTCTGAGGTGGAATGCCTCACAACCTATTTTTTTGCTCTTTTGTTTTTGCTCTTTTATACCCTTCAGATTCGAACACATTAGTGTGGGTGCTGCTACTACTTGACGGCAAAAACAGATTGAACGGTGGCACCTAGACGAACTTTTAGGCATAAAAGGACCACAATGTCTGATATAAATAAATTATGGTTAACCTTTATCCATCCATTCATCCATTACAGTCTACAAAGTCCACTGCTGAACATAGGCCTTCCTCATAGGGCGGCAAGCGTATCAGGCGGGTTGTCAACCGCATTCGTTTATTATTTTGAATTGTTATCAGGAAGATGTTTGTCAAGTTGCGTAATAATTGGGTGGCAAACCGGACAAAATGCCACTGGTCCCCAGCCATAACGGGCCACCGGCCCGTGAGCACAAGAGAACATTAATGTGCATACACATGTTAAATAAAAACTACGGCTACGTGGTGTAGTGGCTTAGCATTGAGTTGCGGTGCTAAGGGCCGCGGGTTCGAATCCCGCACGAGACAAGAATTTGTATGGCCTCTAAATATTTGTTTCGGGTCTGGATGTT